GAACTGGTCTCCAGTAGGAACCATATTCAAACAAGCTAATTATTGTCCAAGCAACTCTAAACGCATAACTGAATAGATCTTGCCAAGTTACTACATACTTATATGATTGATAGCAAGCTAGAAATGAGATCATGGACCAAAAAGGAAGTTGAAATGAAAGTAATAAATTGTAACCACATAAGTCAAAATATCTCCAGTAATGACAGACGGATTCTTAATTATGGTTTCAGAACTCATCTGCATCCTCTGTGTCAATACCTAGCAACTTAGCCAGTTCTCCACTCTGATATGCTTCAACAGTATCTGAAAAGTGAAAACATATATAGCTTCTTTGATTGTTCTATTAAATAATTAACTTTCTGATGCAAAGAACAGATGAAGAAAGGCAAAATGATTTAGTTGCAAAAGGAAAATTACCATCTGAGCCTCCAAGGTGCTTCCTATTTATGAACACTTGTGGAACAGTCCGCCTTCCTACAATCTCACTAATAGCATCCTGGATGCTCGAACCATCCTCTGTTAGATTTGCAAGAAAAAATAATTAGTACTGATAGAGTGCCCTTATGCTGGTACAAACACATTTTTTTCAACTTTCTAGTAACATTATTGAAACGCATTGCAAGAAAGCTTGGACATATTCACATACATTTCCATACACCTTATATCAAAGTCTTTGTTTTTTCATGGTCACACCTTACATCAGGTTAGTTTTTATACAACATGTGTGAATCTTAACTGTCAGTTGAAGTTAATAGAAATAAGCAAAACAACTAATTATAGAAGTTAGCCAAGATAATAACTTAATAAGTACAAGAAAAGGCAGCTAGATAGCCTTGTCCATGCAAGTTTTGGTTCTACAATTTTGTTTTCTGTGAGCTGTTAGTTATGAACAAACCAACTTTCTTGCACAATAATGTCTGCACTTGTTAGGCAGGAAATGAAAACATCAAGATAACTGTAACAAACCTCTCTGGTCAAGCTCAACAACATGTGGAACCTGGTTAAGCTCCTTGAACACAGATTTTGCCCTCTTACAATACCTGCAGAATACCATAAGAGGAATTAAGCAGACAAAAGAGCAAGAAACCACCAATTTCATTCTATTCTTGAAACCTTCAAGTGAGTGTCAGAGACTCAGAGAACATTCAAGGTTGTGTTATATTACAAGAATCCTTAAAGTTAGCTGAGAATAACCACTATCATCCAAATGCTGAAAAGAATTCCAACAATTCCTAACCTCTAATGTCATTAGAAACTCCTTACAATAGTGCATGTTGCGTAGATACTTCACTTCCGAATCCAACCAACAGAGCACAAATTAAGCACCAAATTCATTTCAAATCCTATTTACCAACAGAGCACAAATTAAGCACCAAATTCATTTCAAATCCTATTTAGCAACAGATAGAACATAAAAGAAACCAAGATGTTGTTCATGGTGATTGTGTTAGCAAAAGAAATGACCAAACCCATTTTTAGGCAAAGATTTCAAAGTGAGAAAAGGGGAAATCTTCAAAACCCAAATTCCGAATAGTGTGATAAACCAAGAAACAGAAGAGCCTATCAACATTTTCTATAGGAAACACATCAATTCCTAGTATTCCCATTGACCCATTGACCCATTGACCCATTGACCCATTGCAGAATTTGCATACACAAACAGAATTAATCAGGGATTCTTTGCATTCAGCAGCTCTACTACATGGGATCAAAATTCTGAAGAAAGTTACAACTAAAAAACATATGGGTCAAAATCAAGATTGAATTTTTTTATATCATAATCATAAATCAGGGGTAAGAACAATCAATTAAGAGATTACAGCTGACATTTTCGATTGATTCGAAAGAAGGAAAATATAGTAGAGTAGAATAAGAGAGAGAATCGTACGGGCAATAAGACTTGGAGAAGATGACGATCTTGTGGGAAGATATGGTCTTCTTGACAAAGGCGACTTCTGGGGAAGGAGCAATAACGGAAGGTGCCCAAATGAGATAAGCTAAAATTACTAATATCACCGACGACGCTATCAAGATTCTGGCCGCCATTGATGATTCTTTTGGTGGGAGAA